CCACAGCATTATCCTTATCTCTCACATTGAGATTAATGACCACATGCAAATCAAGCTAGTTTTGAAATTATGGTCCATTTTGAATGCTGTGAACATTATCTGAAATGTTGATTTAAATTATCACTTTCATATATAATGGTCAAAATACCATACACAATGGAAAATAGTTTTATTGAATTATAGCTACAGAGCGATAACATAAACAGCTGTAACTTAATAATTCTACCCCTTGATGGGACCGTTGCTAATACCTCTTTTTTTAATTTGGTTTCATGAGGAGTAATCTCAGGTGAATTAATGAATGTTAATAGTCTTAAATTTATCTAGTATAATACATTGTACATGTATTGTAATTGAACATTCATGTATCTGAATATCATGTGTGATATTTCATGTAAATACTAGAAAGTAATCAAACAAAAATTAGTTGATTGTTACATTTTATGCGGCTATTTTTGTCTAGTTGGAATAAATGCAACTACCTTCTCTTCATCATTACAATACACGCATGTGGATCACTTGTCGGATAGACTGTACGGTAAAATTACGCTTTTCCTAATCACTGTTCTGAAAAAGGAAAGAACTTAATAGTTTACTCCTTAATCAAAAATAGGCACTTAGTATGAATATTCTGGAATATATCAATCTGAGAGCAAAACTTTGCTGAAATTTATTCCGGACTAATATAATTTATAAATCTATAATATTAACATTTTCATGCATGATATTCACTCAGACGTACAATGATAAAAAAACGAAGTTTCGACATCAACTTGAATTAGTTATGTAAAACTGAAAATTCGATGTTTATATAGTGAACTTTTGAATATTTTTTATATATGAAACCATTACTAATGCTTGAAATTTAAATTGGATTGATTTTATATATAAAAATAATATTCCTTTGAAATCTATAATTAGCACGTCAGGTCTTACGCAGTGAAGTATCTTTTTCATACAAACACCTGTTGCAACACACGACTTTGATTTAAAGATCTCATCCGAAGGATTGTCCTTTACGTCTCACTGTTTATTTGAACCAGTGACATAAGAAGCAATTCCTTACTCTGCGTGTCTAAAGCAGAAGCTTTATCAAATACGCCAGGCGTGCCACTCAAAAGGAATATTCGTTATAAGGAAGAATAAAACTCAAGAGGACTGCACGTCTAACAATTATTTTGTTTATTTTATATAAGTATTTTTTTTCTTAAATGGGCACACACTTAAATAAAGAGATATTAGTCATTGTAGATAAAACCGTCATAATATAATAACATGAAACAAGACGTTTCTTCGGTTGAGCATTTCAAGAGCCCATCTGTTCAGTATGAAAAGGACTCTCAAAAATGTTTAAACAATCCCCTCTATTGCTTTAAAAAAGATACCTTCTAAGCGACTTGAAGAAAGAATTTAAGGAGTGATTAGATTAAACAATTGTATTGTTAGAATTAATTATGGTGTGACAAAGTTAAGATGTGATAACTTCCTGTACATCTGATAAGGAAGGCTTGGGTGTTGTATATTGTATTGTATATTGTATTGTATGATTTAACACATCAGTGCTTTCATTATGATGACCTATATTTATGATATGATATTTATTTCTGTTCGAGTTCTTATTTTTGATATTTATGAAATGAGGGATTTTCTAATCTTTATTAGGAAAAATGAACTTTATTTTTATTCTAACATGCAAACAATATGTTTATTTTAAATCAAAATAATATAATTAAATATCAGGCTTCTACATGAATTTTTTAAGATATATGAACATGTCCATTAATCAAGACACCTTCAACAGCTGGTGAGTTATCTCTTCACTGCTCCCTGTGCAGTAAAAGATATATTTGAAACGAAATACACAATCATGTAAGAAAAAAATAATTCAAATATATTAAGTACAGTTCATATGTACAAGCAGAAGAGCCAATCATCATTTGGAAGTATCCATTTCTATATTTTTATTTATGTTTTATAATTAATTTTATTTTTTAATTCCGGCATATGATGTCATCTTTTTTACTCTCAGAATGAAGATCGCGGGAATTGTTATGTGCCATTTTACTACCCCTAGTTTTTTTCTTTCGTTTTATCATTTTATCTCTTGGTTGACTTAAAGCTCGTCTATCTTTTCGTCCCATTTCCTTCCTTCCCTCAAGAAATTAGAAATAACTACCTTCCCCTTTTTTCTCTGCATTTTCTTCTACAAGTTGACGTACAAAAACGTAGTACAATAGATAAACACCTTTAATTATTTTTCCTTTCGAAATTTGTCCTTTATTACAATTCTCCTTAGATTCTCACTTTCTTTATATCATTGAAATATATTAAAAATATAATGGCTTTTTTGCAATCTTGAATATTATTGTTTGTAGGATAGTAACGCAATTAATAATATGTTTGTGAAGATACACAATCAATTTAGTAGCTCATCGTAAACTTGATTAATGTGACAATAGTAACGTTTTGTGTATTTATTTTTTCGTTTTACTCATACGCGTTTTCTTTTTCTCTTTTTTTCTCTCTTTTTTTGGTTTGGTTTATTCTAGTCATCTATTGGCTGTTAGGATAGTTACCTATTCAGGTGATATAAATAATAAAAATTGGGCTATGCGTGTACGTGACAGTGACAGAAACTTTGCATAGTAAAAGTCATTCGCAAACACTGTGTATTCTTATAAATCCCAACCACGCGCTCATTGCCAAGTTTAGATATTAATATTTATACGTTGTTGAGAAATTATTACCAGGTATTTTCTATTTGTTGACTTTGGAGACCCATGCATGGGGACATAAATAAAACGATATGTGTAAAATAATTGAATTGCACTTTCAGAGCGGCGTTTTACATTCTACTTCACAAGTTTCTTTTTATTTCATTAATGCCCTTTGTTCGTTTGAGTGGAATGAATAAGAACATAAATATATACAATTTTTTATCGAGGTCAAATGTTGAATAAGCACTTCCTTGTTCAATTTAAGATTTGGAGTGATGATGCCAGTGCTTTACATGATATAACTAAGCTTTTCAAATCGTATGTTTAATGGGCCGAGTAGTATTTATTATAAATGAAACATATAGTAAAGACACTTTACGTATGGATATATATCAGTCTGCATCAAATAAAAAAATTATTTGGAATAACAAAGACGATAAATCCATCATCTGTTAATTTTAAAATATTAGAAAAAATATAATGTATCATTAATTTTGGTTTAATTAAAAAAAACACATGTTAATTTTGAAGCTGAAAAGGGATGTATATTGTCAGATGTAACTTATCTTGTCTTGGTGTTTTCAACTTAAACAGGGAAATAAAAAAAAACACTCACACAAACATGTCAGAAGATTATAGTAGAGCTATTTAGTACATGATGGTATTAAAATTAATTAATTTCTTTTTATGGTACCATATTTATTGTGATCAAGAATGAAATTTTCCATGTGTTTTTCAACACTGCTATTCATTTGGATTAATGCAGTACATCATGCTGTTTCCTATGGTAGGTATGATTACTAAAAGTCATCTGAAGTTTTGGAAAACTACAATTCAGCTTTGGCCTAAGTATGTTATTAACACAGGAAATGTACATATCATTAAAGATTTCTTGTACGTACATGAAATAATGGAAAAAAGTTAAAAATGTCCAAAATTAAATATTTCTCTGAGCTTCCAATCACTGATCGTCTCTCTCGAGAATTTTCCAATCATATGGGGACGAAGCTAGCAAGTATGTTGTATTGTTAACAAACAGATTTATAATTTATACTTTCATGTCTTATTAAGTTGATATTCTGTTGTAATATAAAATCCACCTTTTTCATGTATGTCTAGCGATAAATGACTACACTTTGTGTATCTTCCTTTTCCGTAAGAAAACTTGTCCAAATGATAGAACAATAAGTTAACATCACATTTCTTTCACATACATATGACTGCTGTTATAGTGAATAATAGAATTACATTGTAGCAATAATTAATACACTTTCCCACAAGCAGGAACTGATATTTTCGGATATTTGCATTTTGTAAATATAGCAATTCAAGTTAAGGATGACTATTGAACAATTTTTTTTATAATATCACTTAATTAAGGACAAATTTTTTATGTCTGTTGCTCCTATAAATTCTCTTCGGGTAATTCAATTTCAAACGTAAAAAGTACTTTTAAATGATAAATATTGATAGGTGTGAAAGATAAGAAATAAATGAAAGTAGAAATTTTTTGCTGAATTGAAAAAAGTAATTTAAGAAAACATCTAGTTTTGTCTTTTAATAATATTTTAACAATCATATATGTACATCTTGATTTACATATTATCGTCTATTTGATTGGTCTTTCAACTCATTTGCATTTAAAGAATATTCACCGAACATTTTCTACGTAATAATGGATTAAACAAAAATTGCTACGCATCCATATATCCACATGTGCATGCAGAGGAATGTAAAAAGTAATGATTAAGACGATCCAAGATTGTTTATCAAATATTCTCAAATATCCAGACACGTGTTTGATTATCAAGTATGCTGGTAAGTGCCAAAATGTTATCTAGCGGCCAGCACATAAATAAATGGAGGTCACCAAAAAGTTTTTTAACTGTAGCCAGATAACCTTCTTGTGGTTGCCCGATCTATTTATCTGGCAGTCAACAGTTAACCCCCCCTCCCCGCGGTATATATTATATGCCTGATTTTTTTTTCTTCTTGACACCACCTAGAAACTTCCGTAGATTACTCAGTAATATATAGCTTTCTTTTATTCTTTACTGATCAACTTTTTTATCAATATGCTATGAGAGGGGTGATACAAAAGTTGCAGAACTAATTAAATAACTTCCATAAAAAATAATGTATTAAGATTTCGGTGTTGAATTTTTAAAAGATTTTCTTTCCAATTTAAACGTACATTTAGCAACAGTTCTGCCAATGGGCTATTCACGTGATGAAAGCAATCCGTGACACCCTCTTTAGCTTTTCACAGAAGCCAAAATATTTTTTCTACTGTTATATTTCTCACCATATTTCTTTTTACAAAAGGGTCAAATCTTGGCTATAGTATGGGCTGATACTTATATTCTTTTCAAGAATGAGAATGGTGACCATCATAACCCCAGCCATTTGTCTTAGGAGCGTCGTTAATTACACGTGATGTATGATTGCTTGTTTTTTTTAATATTTGATGTTTAAACTCTAAAGTAAACGATAAATTATGTATCAAATAATTAAATTATTGTTAAGACATTCATCATTTTTTCTGAATGTTAGGTATAAATATTTACTCAAATCGGTAAATAAAGGATACTCTTCCACACTTTAGTTTCACTGGTTAACAGAACAAGCATCATTTTTAAAAATGTTCCTTCCTTTACTGAAACACTCCATGCAATTTATGACTCAACTTCTGTCCAATTTATGTCATCATATACAGTGTACAAATTAGTTCATACTACTGCAAAGAAATTTCAAGATAAACGCTTAACGTCTTGTTAAAGTACGTTCGTGTTAAGAAAATGTCACGACAGATGTGACCTACTTATTGACGTTATTTTAAAATTGTGTATTTTATATTTTCACAACATGGACATTTATGCAATATATAGAGAAAGAAGACACAAAAAAGTATTGTCAAGGATGTTTTATGTATACTCATCTATATTGTGTAACTGGGTTGTCTATGTCAAAATGACTTCTAATGATCTAAACGCATGTTAGAATGCAGGAATTGGACCTATGGTCATGGTTGTAAATCTACTTGTGGACACTGTGCCAATAATACGGTATGTGATCACATAAACGGATCTTGTCCAAACGGGAAATGTGCACCTGGATGGAAAAACACCCAAGACTGGAAATGTGATAAAGGTTTGGGATAAAAAAAAACCTTGATGCAATTCTTTAAACACTTAATAGGTTCTCTATTGATCAAGAAATAACAACAATATATGTAAAATGATTGTTGTTAATTCTGGTAGGTATATATTACATTTATCATTGAAAACATGCTTCTTTATTGCAGGAAATAGGGAAAAAAACATGTATATCTCTATTCATGCTTGAGTACAATGTATTTCTGTAATTTTTCCCGTATTTTGTAATGCACAATTAAATCTAATGCGCATGGTCTTAAATATACTGAATTTTTTATCCTCTTGTAGAATGCAAGAATGGAACTTATGGTCATGGTTGTAGTAGTATCTGTGGCCACTGTGCCAATAAAAACACGTGTAATCACGTGACAGTATCTTGTCCTAATAGAAAATGTGCCCCTAGATAGGAAAACACAGAGTGCGGGAAATCTGACAAAGGTCGGTTTCTAAGTGAAAAAAAATTGGGCTCAACTAGGATATACGGATAAGTAGTCCCGATAAAAATATTTTCATACGCCAAATTTGAATTAATGCACGTTGCTTTATAATCGGATTCATGCGCCAAATTCGAATTAATGCGCGTTGTTGGATAATGAAAAGGAAATTAGAAGATGTTTTCCAGCAGAAGACGGGTTCACAGGTCGACTGGTTGACAGGTCGACGGGTTGACATGTCGACTGGTAGACAGGTCGACGGAATGACAGGTCGACGGGTTGACTTATCGACGGGTAGACAGGTCGACGGGTTGACAGGTCGACGGGTAGACAGGTCGACGAGTAGACAGGTCGACTGGTTGACAGGTCGACGGGTTGACAGGTCGACGGGTAAACAGGTCGACGGGTTGACAGGTCGACGGGTTGACGGTTCGGCGGGTTGACAGGTCGGCGGGTTGACAGGTCGGCGGGTTGACAGGTTGACGGGTTAACAGGTCGACAGGTCGACAGGTTGACAAGTCGACGGGTAGACGGGTAGACAGGTCTACTGGTTGACTCCTAGGTTGGATAGAGGAACAGCCCTAGTCCCTCTATGTCCGATAACTAACCCTAATCTCTCAGGTGGGTTTTTGAACTAACCCTCATCTTTCAGGTGGGTTCTGGAACTAACCCTAATCTCTCAGGTGGGTTCTGGAACTAACCCTAATCTCTCAGGTGGATTCGAGAACTAACCCTAATCTCTCAGGTGGATTCGAGAACAAACCTTAATCTCTCAAGTGGGTTTGAAACTAACCATAATCTCTGAAGTGGGTTTGAAACTGAACCTAATCTCTCAGAGGATTCAAGTTCTAAATCTTATCTCTTAGCCGGGTTTGAATACTAACCCTTATCTCTCAAGTGGATTTGGAAACTAATTATCCTTTCAAAACATCTGTTTTTTAAATCTATATATTTATCTAATATCTATCTATGTATCTATGTTTCTATTCAATTATCTATCTCTCTATTTATCCATCTCTGTCAATTCTTTCCTTTATCTGTCTGACTGCCTGTCTGTTTTATCTCTCTCCCTTTCTCTCGCTCTCTCTGTCTGTCTGTCCACCATTATGATATTATCATGTTTGAGCGATATTTTTTCATAACCCTGGATATTTTTTTCAATAATATTAATTTGTGTGTAATTGTTCACAAAGAAATTACTGCTTGTATAATAATTTAAAATCTACGACGAACGGTTAATGATATATTTTTTTTGATAATATCCAATTGTCTGCCTCAAATTTATATATATAAGTAATAAATAGCAGATTTTAAACTTCAATGGGATTTGAAGAAGGTTGGTACGTAATCTTCTGAAAAGTCATAAAAAACGTCATAATTTTGATTTTTTTTCTTTTTATTAATTAAAATATATAATAGAATGCAGAATTGGAACCTATGGTAATGAGAGTAAAATTAGATGTGGAAAATGTGCCAAGAAAACAATGTGTGATCACGTGACAGGGATCTGTCCTTATAGGAAGTGTGCACCTGGATGGGAAAACAGTCAAGACTGGAAATGTGATAAAGGTTTGGGATAAATCTTTGATGCAATTCTTTAAACACTTAATAGGTTCTCTATTGATCAAGAAATAACAACAATATATGTAAAACGATTGTTGCTAATTCTGGTAGGTATATATTACATTTATCATTGAAAACATGCTTTTTTATTGCAAGAAATAGGGAAAAACATATATATCTCTATTCATGCTTGAGTACAATGTATTTCTGTAATTTTTCCCGTATTTTTGAATGAATATTGACTCAGCGTTATGACTTAGACAATGTTTGTAAATAAAATTATTATTATTAGATTTTGCTCAAATATTGACTAAGGGTTACGACTTTTCTGTTTTATATTACGCATGTGGTTTTTCAAAATCGAAAAACATCCGAAAAGTCATGTACATAATGATGCAAATATAAACGAAAATAAAGATTGCTAGAAACATTCTCCTTAAATTCCATGCATAACATGAATTATTTACACAATATAAAATAAATAAACAAATTTTTATCTTGAGATGAAGGATAAGTCTGCTCCCCTTCATTCTCTAACGGAAAAGGAAGTCCTAAGTATTCGACTAAAATACCAAAAGTTGAAAGAACTTGGAAATACTAATGACCGATAACCCCGAATATGGGCCTCTCTAATACCGCGATTTAATTTTCAGCAATTAAATCGAATTACTAATATTGTTGCATCATGACTCTGTATTATAAATATGCCTGTTGTTTGTTTTCATAAAATTACTATAAAACTTTAGAAAGAAATTCAACGAACTTAAGGATCAATCCTAGTACATATTATTATTATTATTATTAACTTAGTTGCATGACATTCAGATGATAGATACGGATGATAGATTTTACTGAATATCATTCATTTATATATCTTATATCTATCGAACGTGCGATAAATATTATGTACTCTAATATAATTTTCTTCTCTAAAGATAAGCCTCCATTACTTATTACTAACAAGGCGAAAGTGGAAAGCAGCTCTTTGTATCACAGTATGTATGGGGATATTACTCCAGAGATGCAAAGAAAACCATCGATAGGAACTTCAATCAGAGTTATGTTGACTGTATACACACGGCCCCAGGACAGTCAGAGGCCTGGTTAAATATTGACCTCGGTAGAGTCTTCAGTTTGAAAAGTGTTCGGGAATGACCGGGAGTTTTTTTTTACAATTGACCTGAGGTAGAGAAATGCAATTATACAAAAAAGGAATGAATTTAATAGAGTCGGGGCCTAGTTAAACATTAATCCGGGTACCATCTTCATGACCGTGAGTTTTTTATTATTATTTTTTTTTTTTACAATTAACTCGAACTACAGAAATGCAATTATACACGAAAAAAATGAATTTAATAGATGGTTCATATATAACGTTTCATGTTCTGGCAATAAATCCTATTATATGATCAGTATAAAAGCTGAGAGAAAGTCGTAAAATTCATCTGAAGGTAAATCTTTTAGATTTGATAATATAAAAACTTTTTTTAAAAGTTTAATTAAGTTTAATTTCGTTTGAACAATTTTTCTTCATTTTTAAAAAATCTCAATTTAACTGAGGTGTTTTAATGCTGGTATGTTTAGGTGGAGCGTACAGTACTAGAAGACTGAGCGGATTTTCAGTACTTGTATCGAATCATTCAGAATGGAATGTAAATGACACATGTTATCAAGATTCCGGAAATGTCACTCTTGAAACAGTGCTTGAAGTGAATTGTTCTCATACAGCTCGATACGTAAAGATATTCGCAAATAAGGATATTGATGGGGGTGCTATTCTTGAGATCTGTGAGCTGGAGATTTACGGTGTCTTTCATATTAACGGTACATGTATGTCTTTCTTTACAGCAAACCAATTCGCGAAATATTTTATCTTCAATTTTTCAGTTTGAAATCATTCCGAGACGATTAATCTACATGACTTCGAAAACTTTTTTTTTCTATAAATACTAGCTACCGTATGCTCTCGCCAAAAAATCGTTTTTGGGAGTTAAATTTTGATGCACATAAATATACATTAACAGTTTAATTGAAAATAAACAGCAAACGTAATATTGTCTGTATAAACACAGATTGTTTATACCAGGACAGTGAAGGACATTGTATTTCTTGTGAACAGTGTAAGAATGATTGTATGATAAACGGGGAATGTGACGAAAAGGGTTGTAAAAGTGATAGCCTACCGCCTCCATTCTGTAAAGGTATATTCTCATATATGCGAACCCAGGGTCCGCTACGGGGTTCGCTTTCTGGTAGGTTGTGTGCAATCGGTGCTGTACATCCAGCAGTAGAATTCGAACTCGCGGCATAAGGATCAACTTATTTACTCTTAATTATAGAGCTGACGCCAAATATATTAACAAATTAAATTTAATTTCTTTCAGACACATTCTTCTGTCTGCCCATGGACATGCCTATACACCTTTTGTGGTACATGTAATCAAAGACGCGCAATAACATTGCCTTTTGCATTAATCAACGTTTAATATCGACAAAACGAAAATAGTTTATTGAATTAAATTGTAAAACTTACTAAATGACGTTTGATGAATAATATGTCAACAGGTGAAGAATCATAAAAAAAATTTCATATAATTGACCATTTGCTCAAATGTTCCAGTGCATTACATTTAAATATATGAAATGGATTAATATACGTAAACATTAAGCCATCCGACCTTGTCCTTTGTTATGTTAGCCTGAGCATCTTGGGTGAAATGCAAAAACGTATATATCTACACTAAATATATCCCGTCTTGTATGTTTTGTAAAGGAAATTTTTAAAACTGTTCATAAAAACCCTCACTTTTTTTTATTTTTTAACACGAAGACATAATGAAAGCGATTGCAGATATTCATAAATAAGTCAACTTCATGTTTACCACATATGCATTACGATATTTATCATCCCCCTTGCACTATTGTTAATGCAGTTTTTATGGTACCTAAAAATAGAATATACATAATATTCAATTTTATGCTATAATTTTCAACTTGCAATAATGGCTGGTACGGTAAAGAATTTAAACAACGCTGTGGTTTCTGTAGAGACGATGAACCGTGCCATCACATAACCGGATCTTGCTCCGGTCTATGTGAACCTGAATATTCGGGAGAAAAATGCGCGTTTTCCGAACATCTGGCAAATCAGAGAGAAGTGATTAAGTTGATGAGAGAATTACTTGCGAACAAAAGACGCAAAACTGAACTTTTAAATGAGAAATATTTTCGTAATATAAGAGCAATGTCATACTTGTGTATATAATTTACATGCAATAGGCATTGACAATTATGTAATTATGTTCCCTAAACAGAGTTTGGGAACATATTGTTTTTACTCGGTTTCTTATTATTATTATTAAGGTCTTCCGTCTTCAGCGGAAGACCTTACTGTTATTCTTAGGTTTCTTTTCCACTATTTTTATTATTGTTTTTTTTTTTTCTTACCGATTTTGTGCCCGCGATTTCTCGGAAACGGCTCGATCGGTTTTCATGAAACTTTCAGGACTGATGGAACATCAATCAAACCTGATATATAATTTTTTTTTCTATAACGTCACTTCCGGTTTCGATATTTCCGCTATTTAGTGATTTTCAGAGGATCACTTTGTCCAGCAGTTTTCTCAAAAGTGCATTCAGACAGAAACTTAAGATTTTCAGCGATGATAGAGCAACACGTGCTGATGTGACACACACCTTTCTTATTCTCCGGAAGTGCAGCACGTTGGCGATCGCTGTGGATAAAAAAAAGTCCTATCGGGAATTTAGAAATTTTTCACACTTTTTTTGCAATATCTTTTTAGTGTTAATATTTTGCAAAGACATATGGAACAAAAGTTGTTAAATATGTCACGATCTTTCAGAACATATCAACGATCTGGGGCTGGCCCCTATGATTAAGGGCTAAAAGGGCTAAAAGTTTTTCCTTTATATCTCAAAAAGTATTGAGAATTTTTAATACATAAAAGAAGCAAAGTTGCTCAAAATGTCAAGATAAATCTATTGGTGTCGCCAAAATTCGTCCGGCGACGAAACTTCCTGTCAAACCGGAAGTAGTCAAAAATTGCATATTTTTGCTGTTCTTGACAGGTTTTTCGATATCATATGTCACCGGAAGCTTAAATCTGAATTTTCCATCCGTCGACGTCACTTCCGGTCAAACCGGAAGTTGCCAAAAATGGCTTAATTTTGCAATATTTAACACAGATTTGGAGGATTAAACCATTTTGGGACTTAATTGCTCTTTATTTTTTTTAAATGAAAGTTACTTCCGGTCAAACAGGACGGAAGACCTACTCGTTGCTTTGCAACGAGCTCGGCTCTAGTTATTATTAAGGTCTTCCCTCTTCAGCGGAAGACCTTCTTGTTATTCGTTTGTTTCTTTTCCACTGTTTTTCTTATTTTTTTTTTCCTACCGATTTTGTGCACGCGATTTCTCAAAAACGGCAGGTTATATTTTTATGAAACTTTCAGGTCTGATAGAACATAAAAAAAACTTGATGCATTTTTTTTCATTTTGAGGACGTCACTTCCAGTTCGAAGATTTTTGCAATTTTGTGATTTTTAAGGGTCATTTTGTTCGTCGCTCTTCTTAAAAACCGCTAATCACAGGAAGATGAAACCTTTTCTGGATGATAGAGCAACAAATGTAAATTTGCATTGTGTTGTTAACTTTCACCGGAAGTACTGCACGTTAACGATGGTTTAGTCTGAAAAAGTCAAATTGAGGGTTTCAAAATTTCTTACACTTTTTTTTCTATTATATTGTTTTACTTGTAATTATTTTGTTAAGAAATATAGAACAAAAATTGTGAAGAATTCTGAGATCTTTCAAATGATATCTCAAAAAAAGGGCTGACCCCTAAAATTAGGGATCTAGAGGGGCCAAACGTTTTTACTTGATATCTCGAAAAGTATTGAGAATTTGTAAAACTTCAAAGAAACAAAGTTTTTCAAAATGACAAGCTTAATCTATATGAGTCGACCAAATATGTCCGGCGTCGTCACTTCCTGCAAAACCGGAAGTAGTCAAAAACGCTCTTGCCGTTCTTGTCAAGTTTTCCTGGTAACATGTCTCTGGGAGCATAAAAATTAATTTTCCGTCCGTCGTCGTCACTTCCGGTTAAACCGGAAGTAGCAAAAATTGCTTATTTTTGCATTAATTAACATAGCTTTAGAGGATTCAAACCATTTTTAGGCGTCATTTCTCATTTTTGTTGAAAATGAAA